TCTGATCGTTTCTTTTTGCTTATCACCTTGAGCTTCATCTGAAATATAGCTAGTTTCATTATTTGGATTAGATGGCGCACCATCAAAGATTGTTCAACGCCGAAAACATTGCCCTCAATCCCTTCATTAGATCCAAAAACACTTTGGCCAAATAGTTTGTCTGTGGTAATCTACAACACTTTTTTGTTTATAAGGACGCTAAGCGATTTGCAAGATGTATATCTCGGTCGGGAACTGAACCTGTGTCTCACCCATATCGAAGCCTATATTTCTAGGTTAGAAAGAAGATTTCTATCGTTTGGATGGGAATGTTGTTTTTTCGCATGAATCGTGGGTGATTTTCACATCACTTAAGGTCTATTCTTGAGCATTTATTGATATATAATTTGTCTACATCTGCTGCAGAATGAAACTGTCCAGGGAACAAAAACACATGTTGATGCTTGACCAGTACAAATTTGGTTTAAATGATGCTGATGCTGCTCGCCGAATCAAAAAAGCATGTGGCGACCGTACGCTGGAGAAACAACAGTACGCGAGCGATTGCGTGAGTTCAAGGCCGGAAATGAAGAGTTGACCGACAGACAGAGATTCGGACTACCAACCAAACTCGACGATGAAAACTTTATTTCCGGTTTGGACAATGAGCCGTCATCAAGTTCTCGTGAATTGGCACAAAAAAAAAAACAGGCGTTTCTCATACAACCGTGCTAACCCATTCCCATCAGCTTGATTCTGCCCACAAGAAGCCAGGACAGGATTCACACAAACCGACCGAAGCACAAGAAGAGTAGTTGGCTGATTGTTGTCTGAATATATGCCTAAGTTTTGAGTGTTCTATCAAACGATGGAAACTTTCTCTTCAACCTAGTGATAGTTCTGCAAATCACTCGAAATCCCTCGATTTTTACACAATGTATTTGTGGTTCTTGTTTGAAAAACAGTCTTCTAATATACATGCGTATGTATATATAAATACACGCATGTGTATACATATGTGTATACATACACAAATATATATACATATGCATAAACATATATACATATGCTTATGTATATATCAGGTCGTTCCATATGTCTTGGCACTGGAGCAATGAATAAAACATATATCAACAAGAAATAATGAGAATTTCATGAATTTGGCATCCATTAATTGCGCATTTCTTCGTGTGAACATTTTGGTGTACAAATTGTCTATACTTGCCTTTAGCTGGAGCTGTCTTGGGAACAAAATTGCTAGTCACTCATGCCCGAATGGCACATAGAGGAAAATGCTAGCGAAGCGGCAAGCCAGATTAATGAAGCTTCTTGCGGACAGCCCGAGCGCGACTGATCCATCAGAATGTTCTCTCCAGCTTTGAACTTCGCCAACCACTTCCTAGCCGTACTTTTGCAACCGTCAGCATCGTCGCAAGCTCCATTAATCTGTACGCTGCTTCACTAGCATTTTTATCTATGCACCAATTTGGAATGAGTAGGAAGCGAATCTTATCCCAAGACAGCTTCATCGTAAAGCAAGTATCGGCAAGTTGGATACCAAAATGTTTGCAAGAAAATGTGCCACTGAACAATACCAAAACCATGCAATTCTAAGTAACTTTAGTTAACAAATTTGGTGCTTATTCCTTTAGTGTAAAAACTTGTGGAACGAACTAATCCACCATACACATACATATACATGTATAATAGCACTGAACTCAAAGCCAATTCCCTAAGGAGAAGAAAACTAAAGCCATCCAATAGAACTCACACTTATAGCGTGTATGAAGTACGATATCGCCTGATCATAGTATGTCATGGCGCTATCATACTTTCCGGGCTTTATCGTGCTCGGTAGCCGTCGTCGTCACTAACTCAATGGCTTTCTGAAAAATTCAGGAGATATCACACAGGCAAAGAAGGCAGTGAGGGATACGAGGATAAATTCCCTGAGGGACGTGCCGTGCATTGGATTAAATTCGTAGCCTCGGACGAAGTGACTGAGCGGACATGTGGCTTCGACAATGACTAGCGATAGTCCAACGATGCATCAATTAATGCTGCTACCCTCTCAGAAGAGTCCTGGCAGCGATTCGCCGATTATAGAGGGACGAAGGGCTTAACTGACGCTGAGGTGCGGGGCCGAACCACAGACTACGTGTGGGTCGCACAGCAAAAGATGATGCTTCGAATCGGAAGATATCACCGAAAGGACAGGAAAAGAGAAGGCATAACGAAGTGAAGGAAAAAAACTTGGAAATCATACCTGTAGTGATGACGTCATTAGTTCTGGAGTGTGGAGAGACCGGTAGAACGCCGCTCGCTATAGTCTCTCGCGTGAGTAGAACTTGCCTGAAGTGGTTGAAGTCTGATAAATCGCTGAAATGTTAAGATAATTCGAGAACAAAGCAAAAAAAAATCGGTCATAAACAGAACAGCGAGGAAAAATCACTGAAGTCAATCAATAGTGAATCGATCGGTTATCGATTGGAACTGATCTGAGTTGTCAACGAAGAGTTGAACTAGCGAGAAAACCCAGAGAAACGACGACTATCACGACCCGAAGCACCCAAGAGCACCTCGTCACCACTGGCCGACGGCTCCTTCGATTTAAAGGACAAGCGACGACCTGCCCTCCAGTGGTCCTGCACAGATTGCTGCTCAGCGTAGGCGGCTGCGTCACGTGTGGTAATCCGTCCAGCGTCTGCACAGTCTGGCCTGGGTGGGTGCGGTTGATCGGTTTGAGTTTCTAGCGCTGGCTCGGTGCTGAAGCAGGCGAGGCGCCGAGGGTGAACAAACAGATCGAGGAGCGGCTCGCTAAGGGCAAGCAGGTGAGGCAGTGGGGGCCACGCTTGTCCCCGAGGGGCCAAGGCCCCGTCGGACATCCGTTCGACTCATCTCGTCTCATTCATTCGTTTATTAGTTATTGATTGGGTTGTGGTGTTGCTAAAAATAGCGGCGTGGAGAGGTATTTTTGGCGTCGTGCCACGACTAGATAGACATTGAAAGAGAGGAAACGATAGGGAAAGTGAGCTTTTTCCTGCTGCAGGTCATGCGCGCCACACATCGATTGTGATTGCTCGGTGCATGTGATATGCGGAAGAGCACAATTGTGAAACAATGCCGATATTGCATATCTACGGCTTCAGTGATGCCGAGAAAATGGGAAAGATCAAGGACATACGGTGAAATATCCGCAACTCGATGCAGGTGAGTAAACTTGGTTCATGTGCGGAGCGGATCCGAAAGAGGTGAGGGGGAGATGAAGGTCGATTGACCTGGTTTACTTTTGAGAAAGTGCTGTCGTAATGGGCTTGTGTACTTCGCCAGTCAATCCTGGTTGGTGTACGTAGCAAACCCTAATGGGGAGAGGCTTAGGTCGAGTGATTTCTTGCTTTTAAAGAGGTACTGTCTTAGTGGGCTTGTACATCTGGTCGATGTATCGAGCAGGCCTGAAAAAAGGGGCGATATGTCGGTTGACCCCCTTTACGATGTGTACCGGATTTCAAGCCTAAATCGTTTGCATAAGGGGAATAGTTGCTGTGAAATTACACCAAGTATTGTTTTTTGATAGAACTACACTTATTCGCTGGTGATGCCCAAATCTATATACAGTAATGCCAAATGGAACAGGAAAAAGGGTCTGCTAACTTCTCTCAGTGCGATCCTTGTGGCTGTAGAGAAGTTAACTGCATTATTTTCATTATTCAATCCGCGTGTGGTCTAGAAATGTTAAGGGCCTTTTTTGGGTTAATCGCAGGGAGTTCGTGGGTTACTTTTCCGTTACTCGCCATGTTTTCTGGCTTTGAACCTTACAGGGGCCAGTTTTCCGTACATGAGTCATGTTTATGTTCTTGCATGAGATCAAACTTGTTTTTATTTTTGCAGGAATTCTATGATCATGTGGCCAAGTGCTGAGTTGACAAAGGTGTGCAGGCATGCTACGAACGATGCAATGAATACCAGTTGGTCGATTGTGCGAAATAGTATGAGATCCTCTTTTGTTTTTCGGCATTCCAGAGTTTCAGAACGATTTTATTTCTAAGGTGCTGAAACTTTGAGTGTATTGAGTGGTATGCAAAGCATTCAACTCCAAGCAGGAGATGAACCCGCTTTTCACTCCAGCAAGAGGCGTGCATATGTCCCATCCATGTTCGTTTTCGGTATGATTGAAACGCGAGTTCATTTCCTGCCTAGAGTCGAGTGTTTTGCACACCACTCAAAGATCTCAGCTACATCGCGGATTATTCTGTGAAAGCCAAACGCGAGGTTGTTAGTGTACGATTTTTCATCGATAAGCTGATGTTCCGGGCCTCATTTTTGTCAGAGCCTAGAAAGATCAGGTTGTACATATCTCACTCGGCCAACACCATTACTTCAACAGGAAAAAATCACTAAACCGCGATAGTTTCCATAGGATCAGGCGCAGAACATTTTCAAGATAGATTTCCAAATTTTCGATTGATAGTAACAAATATGGTTTTTTTTTTGTTTCGGGAATCACTCTCTTTATTCAGAAGCATATGGAATAGTCGCTGGTTGAAGACAATTCCGTCATTTCATCTTTGATTAGGGAAGGAGGATCTTATTGTAGTCGTATCTATGTAATCATTCTAGATACCTTAACTCCTGTCTTTTGATTTATGTGTTACAGGATCTGCTACCCGAAAAAATCAAGGCTAAGCGATATCTTCTTTAGTCTTATTTTCCAGAATTCGCCAGTTATCGGTTACCCTCTGATGCTGTTTTTGATGCAGCAGACAACAAAGATGTAGTACGAGTGGAATACTTTATCAAAAAAGAATTTTCGTGATTCCTTGAGGAACGCTCAGTGCTTTGCATATATGCTATGTTTAGTTGCAGTTATACAGGTTTTCTTGTTGAAATTCCCTCACGGTAGAGACCGAATAGTTTTTTTGAAGAAATTTAAATGGTCTCTATGACACCGTATTTGTTATGTTATCAACAAAAACAACCATCTTGTGTACATCTATGAGTATTAAATGGTTTGCAGAACATTCGACCTCAAGCGGAAGTTGAACCCGCGTTTCTTCCATACCAGGGGCGCGTGCTACCAATACACGCCACCGAGGCCACCACTCTGTTACCACTCTTTTCTGACATAGCTTGTAGGAAGATCTACTTACTTAAGTCCTTGGACGGTCCGTCTTCACGACCATGTAGATCCCTGCACATAAAAATGTGCTGATGTAACTGTTTTTCTCTTGAGTCCCGAGGTAAACCTAACCGGGATTTCGTCAGAGCAGTCGTCGACCTTTGTGGATTAGAGGGAGATTACTTTCTTGTGACTAGTAGTTACTAAGACGGCGGCCATTCCTAGTACTGTTTACTCTTAGTTGGGCCTTTACTAGTGAAAACGTCGGACCTTGTCTTGAGTGAACCTGGTGGGGGTTGCACCCTCCTCCAGAGTCACGATGAGGCGGTAAACCATTTAGAAGCGACTTGTGGAATTGACACGCTTTGTTTGTGCTTATTTCAAATTTCATAAGTTACAGGTAAATGTGAATGAATTTCATGCACTAAAGGAAATTTCAAAACCACAAAGTCTTGGGAAAACCAGCCGTAGCGCCCAGATAGCAGAGTTTCCAGAGTTTTTGTTCTTGTTAGAAGCCGATGTTGAAAATAGGTACTCAGATATGTAGTAACAATGTGGCTTTTGCGGGTTTGTTTGGCAGTTGTTCTATACAGCGTTTTTTTCTGCTTGTAGGATACATCTTGGAAATGGACCTTTCCAGTGGCTGTTCACAATAGAGGTTTACTTCATACATGACTGATATTTTCTCGTTTTTCAATGAACAGCTATTTCAATAGTGCTTGTACCTCCTAAAAATATCTTCACTATAGGTCAATTGTTCTTTTGATTGACCTGCCCCAGATGATGATTAACTAAATCCTCTCGCTCTTTCTTATTCAAGCGTTCTCACATACACATACATTGAAGCAGTCAAATAATCCTAGACGTTATATCGTACCCAGTGATGTATACTGTTGTTCAAAAGCTTTTGCGTCAGGTGAGATTCGAAGCCATATTTCACCTCATCTGGGAACGCGTACTCGCGCTTGTTTTGACACCACCTTTTCACGCTACAACGAATCTATCTGTCAGAAACCAACCGTCAACGATTCAGCCTAAGTAGACAGTATTGACTTTGGACCCAGTCACGCTGACAGATATTGGGTATGGGGTAATCAAGTAAAATGCTGTTGGCAGTCGTACGATGTTTTAATTAGATGTAGAGTGATGCAGAAAATTTCTGCGTCAGGTGAGATTCGACCTGTCGATACAGACTACGTAGACCGGAGCGTTGAGGGATGGCTGCTGACAGATAGATTCGTTGGTGGTGTAACGGTTCGAGCACGCGCCCCTGCATATCATAAAATGTGGTTTCAAGTCTCACCTAACGCGGAAGTTCTGTACATCAGTCTACATCGATGTTCAAACGGCATTGAGGCTGCTGAAACAATTTTGAAGGCACCGCTGAATAACACCTCCGCCTACTGCGACTTTTAGGAGATGAATCTCTGGACGTCTAATTCACGACAGTAATCAGATTCTACATTGATTTCGAATTTCCTCCTGAAAAAAGGAGCATAAAATCACCATTTTTGCGGTTCTCTCAGAGCACATCATATAGCTCGCTGAATGACCAGGCAGCTGTTTTTATGAAAATTATATAACTACTCGCAAAATGGCCAATAATGGTTATCTGAAGATCAACCGGTGCAGCTAAGGAGGCTGGAAATGCAATGGTCAAAGTCGTCGGATAATAAAACCTGTATGGTTTTCTGGTTCGAATCCGCCTCCAGTAATCATATTTTTCAACTCTCTAGAGTGGCATAATGGAAGTAGTTGTGCTACTTTTGATCCATAATGGCCGGCACTCCACGTGGTAAGCACCTGGAAACGCTTTTCCATACTACCTCAAGGAAAAACAGTAAGACAAAATCGACATTTTTGAAGACAAAGCTGTATGACATTTGAACCCATGAGAAATCCGCAGATCTTCGTGGATGACGGATGTGAGAGAACCAATCGATTGAAGGAAGTGCTGGGGATCGTGTGAAGCAAGATCGTATAAATATTGGTGTTCATAGTTTCTTCCGAATTTGACACTTTTGTTAATTCCATTGTTATCAGGTCGAGGAAAAAGTAGTTTGACACTCGCTGGGATTTTAGATTCAATACATAATTTCAGAAACAATAATTATTCTTCAAAATAGAGATTTTCACCATCCACGATCTTCTGTCAACGATTTCGGATCTGCTCGAAATCACCAGGCTCTGAGTCAAAAAACTCGTCACGTGCCTCTTCAACTTGATCAGATGTCACGAATCGGCGTCCAGGCAGGAAAAGTTCAACTGACCGGAAACGCGAATCATATTCGGACGGCGAACCATCTGGACTGTAGGTTAGGTGCGGCAAGACCTCGACTCCTTCCAATTCTTCAAACGTTTCTCTAGTCTTCTTTGTGGTGTGAGGTTTTGCTCTGTCTTAGTACTAAGCTGAAAAGAAAGTTTCCGTCGTTTGATAAAGCATTGAAAATTTATGCATATATTCAGACAACAGACAACACCAACTATTCTCCAAAGTACAAGCCACTATTATCCACCACTTTTTGCCATCGGTCCAACAGGTTTCGCAGCTGATTGAGGTACCACTCCTTCGGCTTTGAATCAAAGAACTCAACATGCTTCTCCAAATTTCATTGGAAGATTCAAATCGGGGACCTTCCAAAAAGCATCTGAACCAAATTTGTACTCGTAAAGCATGAACAAACGTTTTCGTTTCCCTGGACAATTCCATTCTAGAGCAAATATAGACAACTTATAAATCAATAGATGCGCAAGAAGTACACCTTTCAAATGATATGAAAATCACTCACGATTCATGCGAAAAAACGACATTCCCATCCACAACGATGAAAATTTTCTTTCCCACCTAGTAAAACAGTGCGCGCTTTCGACGAATCAGTGTCGGGTACTTCCTCTTCAAAGCATCGTTGCCGTGGGAGCTTCTTATGGAAATATTCCTGAGATATTCCCATGAATTTACAAGCACCGATACTGTGTGTAACGAACATAACATTCAATTTTTCATAGGTGTTCAAGAACTTTTCCCTCAACTTAGTATTTACTTGAAAAGTCAACCAATTGACAATCACAACACCATGATATATGATAAGCAAACATTCGCTGGGTGAAAATTGAATGCCTTGCTCTCAAAAATAATAGGACTGGCAATCGAAAAAGTCGAACGGTTAGGTCACTATTGAGCAGGCTGTAGTTCTTAGACTTTTATCGCGTAGAAACTGCTTTAGGATGCCCAAGAGATGATAACCTAATGAAGCAATATCAGGCTATACTGTAGAAATAATACCGTGGTCTATTTCAGTTTCTCCAAACTGCAAGAAATCGACCTTGTGTTGTGAGATGGTCGCTCAGTGGGTGAGGTGTCATCGAGACATCATGCAGTAGCCCATTTTATCTAAATGTAGAGCGAGTGCGACGGCCGAATCTAAGTGTCTTGTCAAGCCACGCAGAAACATTCTCCAACAACGGATTCGTTTGAAAAAAGACCCTCTTTCATCCACAAAGGTTGCCAAACACTTACTTGTGGCGATGACTCGAAAAATCGAGTGGAACTCCTAAGCTTTATTTAGTACGGGTTATCCCTCTAAATAATCGCCGTTACATTAAGCTTGATCGAATGGGACTTTCTTCTGCGGCTGGTGTTAGCTAATCACTCCACCTGAGTTACACTACTTTGGTGAATGACAGGACAGTTGTTTTTTCTTTGATGTTCGAGGGAGATTTCATAGTCATAAAGAATTGCCATAAGCTTCTTGCTTAGCACATTGTACGTGGTGTATCACAAACTGTGTTACTACCATACATTCATTGTACCTGAGACAGAAATGAACGGAGATGTATGAAGACAAAAATTACTGTTTCTTCGGCACCTTACGGAAAGTCAATAAAGCTAGTTACGTTTGCTTCCAGTTCACGAAGTTCACGTCTGATATACAAAGACTGACAGCTGTAGCACTACCAAACGATTAAAGTACTACTAGGTCGAGGAAGAAGTTCCTCAACACCCGTAAACTTAAAAATTCATGTTTGTTTTGCACAGTAGCGGTTATTGTAAATTTATGGGAATATCTCAGTAAATATTTCAATATTTCCATAAGAAACTCTTTAGTCAAAGCGCATCAAATTTCATTTTACTCTTCGGGTGGACGAAATTGAGTTTCGAATTTTGATACGCTGTTGCTGAAAGCGACAACTTTCGACAAAATATGCTGTGAATGAGATCTATGTTGCCAAAAGTAAAGGAACTGTGATGCGACCAGCTGGACCGTGTCTACGATCGTTTGAGTTGAAGGAAAGGTACCCGACATTGATTCGTTGAAAGCGCACGTTGTTTCAACAAGACAATGCCAAACCTCCCATCGCAAAGAAACCAAGAAAAAGTCTAATGATGAAGCGAGTCGAGGTGTTACTGCACCAGTCTCCAGTCCAGACGCTGCGCCGTCCGATAATGGTCCGCGTTTCCGCTCAATGGAACATTTCCTGCGCGGACGTCGATTCAAGAAATTTGGTCAAGTTCAAAAGGCGTGTCAGGAGTTTTGTTGATTCAAAGCCCAAGGAATAGCCGCATTTGACCAGATTCGGAAGCTTGGTTGGATAACGATGGTTTTCATTTTAAAGAGTAATTATTGTTGTTTTTAGTTGAATTTTTGAATAAATTGAATCTTCAGCAGGTGTTAAGGAACTTTTTCCTAAACCAATATAAGCTTCAGATGATTAAAATACAACTTTCGGGCTTTCACTGAAGACTCGCACTTTTCAATATGCCTCAAATAGCGATTTTCAGATCCACAATTGCTATTGCATTTTCGTCTTTATAACTTTGCATAACCATGAGCAAGAAACCATTTACTCCAGCAAAAAAAAAAATATAAACATTTTTGCACTTTAGGTTGACGTGCAAGCGTGATTCAATTTTTCTTTGAAAAAAAAAAAAAGACTATGAACGATGATTATCAGACATCCAATGTGTGATGTTTTACTC